CCATATGATGGACAACTAAATAACTGTAAGAAATAAATGGGAAAGCTTTGTACTTAGATGAAGTGATTTCAAGATACATTGAACGAAAAAAGCAAGATGCAGAACATGGTATATTGTATACTTACATTTATGTGTTAACGTGGAGGGAGAACATTTATAAAAATTTGCTGCACTACACAAAACATGTCTGGAATGATATACACAAAAACGTCATACTTATTTCTTTTGGGAGAAATGTGCTATTGAAACCAGAGACGGAGAGAATATGCGCTATGTGCCTCTTCAATTTTGAACTACATGAAAATATACCTTTTTGAAAACAAATAACTGTAAATTCAAAAAAGAAACCTTTCGCAAAGCGTTTACAAGCAATTGGTACATTTCCATGGGAAAACCTCTGGGTGTCGCTGTAGGTCAAAAAAGTGAGAGAAAAAGCCTCTGGGAACCTCTTAGAGGGTAACTTCCGGCTCAAACCAGCCACATAGAGGAGACCGGTACAGATTTGGATACAAAAAACAAAAGCAGGAAAAAAGGCTCTACCCGGGATTTTGCCATCCACAGAGGGCTTATTTCTCCTCCCAACCAAAAAGAAGAGCCACCGTGAAGGGAGACAGGATGAGGCTGAGCGCAGAAAGGAGCAGTCTAGCGCGGTGGCGGCAGGTATTGTTGCCCTTCCTGCTGTCTTTGTTCCGGGGGGCTCTCTCAGATCAAATCCGCTATTCAATTCCGGAAGAGCTGGCCAAAAACTCGGTGGTAGGAAACCTCGCCAAGGACCTGGGGCTCAGTGTCCGGGATTTGCCAGCCCGGAAGCTGCGGGTTAGCGCGGAGAAAGAGTATTTCACTGTAAACCCTGAGAGTGGGGACTTACTTGTGATTGACAGAATAGACCGAGAGCAGATATGCGGAAAGAAGCCTCTGTGTATTCTGGATTTCGATACTGTCGCTGAAAACCCACTAAATATTTTCCATGTAGCAGTAGTTGTACAGGATATAAATGACAATACCCCGCTGTTCAAACAGAATAAAATTGATTTAAAAATCGGGGAATCCACTAAGCCAGGTAAAACATTTCCGCTAGACCCAGCCCTGGATTCAGATGCTGGTCCTAATTCACTGCAAAGATACCATCTTAATGACAACGAACACTTTGATCTTGTAGAGAAACAGGCTCCAGATGGACGTAAATATCCTGAGTTGGTTCTGAAACATTCTCTAGACAGAGAAGAGCAGAATCTCCATCAATTGGTTCTAACAGCTGTGGATGGTGGAGACCCACCCCAAAGCGGCACCACTCAGATCCAAATCCAAGTGACCGATGCCAACGATAACCCCCCAGTTTTCATCCAGGACGTGTACAAGGTCAGCCTGCAGGAAGGTGTACCTCCAGGCTTCTCCGTGCTTCAAGTAACGGCCACTGACCAGGATGAGGGCATCAATGCAGAAATCACCTACTCTTTTCATCATGTGGATGAAACAGTGGAACAGTTTTTTAACTTAGATCAAAGAACAGGTGAAATCACAACAAAGGATAATTTTGATTTTGAAATTGCTAATAGTTACACTCTCAGTGTAGAAGCAAAAGATCATGGAGATCTAGCAGCATATTGCAGTATCCAAGTTGAAATTCTCGATGAGAATGATTGTGCACCTGAAATGATTATGACTTCGGTATTTACTCCCCTACCAGAAGATTCACCACCAGGAACTGTGATCGCCTTGATAAAAACAAGAGATAGAGATTCTGGAGAAAATGGAGAAGTTTACTGCCGCATTTTGGGAAAGACCGGGTTTATATTGAAATCTTACTCGAAAAATTATTATAAGCTAGTGACAGATGGACCCCTGGACCGGGAGGAGTATCCGGAATATAACATCACTGTCATGGCCACAGACAGAGGTAAGCCGCCCCTCTCCTCTAGTATAAGCATCACTCTGCACATCGCAGATGTCAACGACAACGCGCCGCTGTTTGAACAGGCTTTCTATTTGGTCCACGTGGCCGAGAACAACCCTCCTGGAGCGTCCATCGCCCAAGTCAGCGCCTCCGACCCCGACCTGGGGCCCAACGGCCACGTCTCCTACTCCATCGTGGCCAGCGACCTGGAGCCACGGGCGCTGGCGTCCCACGTGTCCGTGAACACGCAGAGCGGCGTGGTGTTCGCGCAGCGCGCCTTCGATCACGAGCAGCTGCGCGCCTTCGAGCTGACGGTGCAGGCGCGCGACCAGGGCTCGCCAGCGCTCAGCGCCAACGTGAGCCTGCGCGTGTTGGTGGGCGACCGCAACGACAACGCGCCCAGGGTGCTGTACCCGGCGCTGGGGCCCGACGGCTCGGCGCTCTTCGACACGGTGCCGCGCGCCGCGCAGCCCGGCTACCTGGTCACCAAGGTGGTGGCGGTGGACGCCGACTCGGGACACAATGCCTGGCTGTCGTACCACGTGCTGCAGGCCAGCGAGCCCGGACTCTTCAGCCTGGGGCTGCGCACGGGCGAGGTGCGCACTGCGCGTGCTTTGGGCGACCGGGACGCGGCGCGCCAGCGCCTGCTGGTCGCCGTGCGGGACGGGGGACAGCCGCCCCTGTCTGCCACCGCCACGCTGCACCTGGTGTTCGCTGACAGCCTACAGGAAGTACTGCCCGATATCGGCGACCGTCCGGAGGCCTCTGACCCCCAGGCCGAGCTGCAGTTTTACCTGGTGGTGGCCTTGGCCTTGATCTCCGTGCTCTTCCTCCTCGCGGTGATTCTGGCGATTGCCCTGCGCCTGCGCCGCTCCTCCAGCCCCGCAGCCTGGGGCTGCTTTCAGTCAGGTCTCGGTTCCAAATCTGGACCTGGGGTTCTCCCGAATTACAGTGAAGGGACTTTGCCTTATTCCTACAACCTGTGCGTTGCCTCACAATCAGCTAAGACAGAGTTTAATTTTCTTAACGTCGCCTCGGAAGTGACTCCCTCTCAGGATCTCCTTTGTGAAGATTCTTCTTGGGTACCAAATACAAATCATGAAGGCGTCGGGGTCCCATTTACATCACATACTATTTTAAAGGTGAGCTTTAATTTACTTCACTTGTTTTCACTTTGAGTTTCAGTGGTTGTTAACAAGTCACCTAACTGGGGTAAAAGTAACTATTTCATATTTTGTCTTGTGGGTTCAATTTAGTCAGTTTTCTGCCTTAATTATCTTATCTAAACAAATTTTTGACATAGATTTTCTCTCTGATGTGTGAGATTTATTTGTCCATAATTACAAGCCTTTACTACATGAAATAGTTTCTGCTTCATCTTTATATTCCTTTCTCTGAAATTCATTACTATTGGGATCTTAAGGTATTCCTTTTACCCTCCGGATCTTTATTACTCAGATTTTAGTTTTACTTCCTCTTAGAATTATAGCATTTCAGAGTAAAGAGAGCGTCCATGCTGCTAGTTTGGGAAAACTGGGAACCAAAAAAAGAAAAACATTTACCCAGTGTCATGGTTTGTCAACAGCAGGGCATGGGTGGGACTGAATTGTAGGCCACCCTTCTAAGTGTCTTTTCAAGCTTAATGTCTTGAAATCTCAGATCTGTTTTTAAAAATAAGCAGCATTTGAGGTCTGCAGTGTCTGTTATTAAGAGTGTGTTTTTGGGGGTGCCTGGGTAGCTCTGTCAGTTAAGTGTCTGACTCTTGATTTTGGCTCAGGTCATGATCTCATGATTCATGAGATTGACCCCTATCAGTGTGGTGCTTGCTTGGGATTCTTTCTCTCTCTCTGCCTCTTCCTGCTCATGCTTTCCCTCTCTCATAAATAAATAAATATAACCTTTAAAAAAGAATGTATGTAATAAATGGGAGAAATCTTTCTCTCTCATGCATAGTAACAAATTGCTTTTGTGAAAAATTGTACATTAAGAAAAAAATCCCGAATTATATTCACGTTGTTTACCTAAAATTTTCTTTTTTGAAGTTTCTAATTATAGATATAAAATGTTTTCATATTTTTTCTTTTCCTATGAAGGTGTCATTAGGTAAAAATTGCTTTTCTTACTTAATGGACTCTCTGAAATGTCCCTTTTTTCAATCGTGAGACTTTTTTTCCTGATACCATGTAAGGGCGTTAGCATTAAATATGTCTCAACATAGAAAGGGCATTCACTGCCTGCTCACTCAGGATCTAGACATGTTTTTCTGCATAGGTAGTGAACTAAAGCCCTTTCCTTCAGTTACTACACTGACTTCCCCAAGAGTCTGTCACTGTAAAATGCCTTACCTCCAATTTAGACATGATAATAGGTAAATTTAAATAATGCATAGTTAACTCAACTCAGATTCTTAGTGTGATATAGTGGAGCTGCCAGATTCTTAATGTGAATGTTTGGGAACTTTCTCAGAGACCTCACAAGTAACAAAATGGCCCCTTTATTTTTTCTGTTTTCAACAGCTAATACAATTGGGTTGAATCAGTAGGCCTTTATGCAATGGTGTGATGAGAGCTAGATTTGTTTTCTGGACATTCTTATGCACAGTGGGTATGTTTTCATTAATATATCCTAATAAAAAGACGAAATTTTAAAGCCTACAAAATTAATTCTAATGTCCTAATTTAATGGACTCAGTATAGGTAAGAGGTAAATAAAGGACATAGGCTCAATGGCATATTAAATAAAACTTTTCTAAAGAAATAAAAATATAATTATATTGATCTCAAGGTTTGTGGAAGTCTTTTGCTATATCAGAATTAAATCTTAAATATGAGCAATGTCACTTGGTAATAGGTTAAGAGTACAGCAAAATTATTAGAAAATACAATTAAACATTTATGAAATAAAAACAGAATTGGTGTAGTAACTAGTTAGGACTCTGAGCGTCGCTGTTCACCAAAGTGGAAAAGCTGCCTGCTGTCGGTGACCTAACTCCGCTCCTTCCGCACTACACAAACACAGACCAGAGAAGTTTGGGGGGAAAGCCTCGCGTTTCCGTGAAGTAATATGTTCCCTTTGACTTAAAAGAAATAAGGATACAGCAGACTGGAATTAGGACTAAGAAAACTGGTCGGAGAGAAGGAAATGGCGGATCCACTGAGGGGTTGGGGCTGCCTAGAGCGGCTCCTGCTCTTCCTGCTACTGGAGACGTTATGGGGAGCTGGAGCCGGGCAGATCCGCTACTCGGTGCTGGAGGAGCTGGACAAAGGCTCCTTCGTGGGCAACATTGCCAAGGACCTGGGGCTGGACCCCCGGGAGCTGACGGAGCATGGAGTCCGCATTGTCTCCAGAGGTAGGACGCAGCTCTTTTCTGTCAACCCGCGAAGCGGCAGTTTGGTCACTGCAGGCAGGATAGACCGGGAGGAGCTCTGTGCTCAGAGCGCACGGTGCCTGGTGAGTTTTAACATCTTGCTTGAGAATAACATGAAAATTTATGGAGTAGAAATAGAAATAATAGATATTAATGATAACTTTCCACGTTTCCGGGATGAGGAAGTAAAAGTAAAAGTTAATGAAAATGCAGCTACGGGAACTCGGTTAGCGCTCCCCTTCGCTCGAGATGCAGATGTGAGTATGAACTCTCTCCAGAGTTATCAGCTCAGCCCCAACATGCACTTCTCTCTGGACCAGAAAAGTGGAACTGATGGACAAAAATATCCGGAGCTGGTACTGGAACGGCCCTTGGACCGGGAGAAAGTAGCTGTCCACGACCTTCTTCTCACAGCTTTAGATGGTGGAGACCCCATACTCTCTAGTACTATGTACGTACGCGTGATGGTCCTCGATGCAAATGATAATGCGCCCCTCTTCACTCAATCTGAGTACAGAGTGAGTGTTCCAGAGAACATACCTGTAGGCACTCAGCTGCTTGCGCTAACTGCCACAGATCCAGATGAGGGAATAAACGGAGAATTAACATACTCTTTTCACAATGAAGAAGATAAAATTTCAGAGACTTTCCAACTTGATTCCAACCTGGGTGAAATCTCAACTCTGCAATCACTGGATTATGAAGAATCCAGATTCTACCTCATGGAAGTGGTAGCTCAGGATGGAGGTGCTCTTCTTGCCAGCGCTAAGGTATTGGTCACAGTACAGGATGTGAATGACAATGTCCCAGAAGTGATCCTCACATCTCTTGCTAGTTCAGTCTCTGAAGACTGTCTTCCTGGAACTGTAATTGCACTGTTTAGTGTACATGATGGTGATTCTGGAGAGAATGGTGAGACTGTATGTTCTATCCCCAGGAACTTGCCCTTTAAATTGGAAAAGTCAGTTGATAATTATTATCACTTATTGACAACGAAAGCCCTGGACAGAGAAGAGATCTCAGATTATAATATCACAATAACTGTCATTGACAGTGGAAACCCACCCTTGTGTACAGAAAGCCACATCTCCCTGAATGTGGCAGACATCAATGACAACCCGCCCATCTTCCCTCAGACTTCATACTCCACCTACATCCTGGAAAACAATCCCAGAGGCATCTCCATCTTATCTGTGACTGCGCACGACCCTGACAGTGGCAACAATGCCAAGGTCACTTACTCTCTGGCTGAGGATATGTTTCAAGGAATGTCTCTGTCCACCTATGTCTTCATTAACTCCAATACAGGCATCCTGTATGCTCTGGGCTCTTTTGACTATGAGCAGGTTAAAGAGCTGCAGCTGTGGGTAATGGCTAGTGACAGTGGAGACCCTCCACTTAGTAGCAACATGTCACTGAGCCTGTTTGTGCTGGATCAGAATGACAATGCCCCCAAAATCCTATACCCCAGCATTCCCACTGATGGCTCCACTGGCGTGGAGCTGGCTCCCAGATCAGCAGAGCCTGGCTACCTCGTGACCAAGGTGGTGGCGGTGGACAGAGACTCTGGCCAGAATGCTTGGCTGTCCTACCGCGTGCTCAAGGTCAGCGAGCCAGGACTTTTCACCGTGGGGCTACACACGGGTGAGGTGCGCACTGCACGGGCCCTGCTGGACAGAGATATGCTCAAGCAGAGCTTAGTGGTGGTGGTCCAGGATCATGGACAGCCCCCTCTTTCAGCTACTGTCACACTCACTGTGGCTGTAGCTGACAATATCCCAGATGTCCTGGCTGACCTGGACAGCCTCAAGCCCTCATCCTATGCTGATGACTCCAGTCTCATGCTGTACCTTGTGGTGGCAGTGGCTGTAGTCTCTTGTGTCTTCCTCGCCTTTGTCATTGTGCTACTGGCGCTCAGACTGAGGCGCTGGCACTCTTCCAGTCAGCTCCAAGCTTCAGGAAGCAGGTTGGCTGGCATGCCCACTTCACATTTTGTGGGTGTAGATGGGGTGGGAGCTTTCCTGCAGACCTATTCCCAGGGGATTTCCCTTACAGCCAACTCCCGAGACAGTCATGTGATCTTCCCCCAGCCCAACTATGCGGACACACTCATCAGCCAGGGGAGCTGTGGGAAAAGCGAGCCTCCTCTGATATCTGAGAAAATAAATGTAAATGAAGAGCTAGGAGTTATACAGGTGAGTTTTTTTTTTCCAGTATCGTTGCTTGTAGCATTGTTTTCATTTGTTTTCTCAATCATTTGTCTACCACATTCAAAATGGATTAATTACATAAATAACGAATCATTGTGTATTTTATTTAGAGATCGACTTGATTTAATTTGATAATGCTGTCTCCATTTGTTTTCAAATTATATTTTGGGTTTAATGTCTTTTTTCAATACATGAAATTTCTAGACAACCTAGCTGATATACATAGTCTTAAGAGAAATTAAACATAATCACCTTACCCAAAGACTTTCTAATACTATAACTGTTACTTTTTTTAGTGTTTATTTATTTTGGGAGGGGAGTGCAGAAGAGAGGGATAAAGAGAGAATCCCAAGCAGGCTCTGCGCAGGGCTGTAACTCACAAACTGTGAGACCATGACCAGAGCCAAAGTCAAGAGTCAAATACTCAACCAACTAAGCCACCCAGGTGCCCCAGAATTGTTATTATGTTAATAGAAGAGTTGTTACATGTAATGCTCTCTTTTCAATATTTGTGTAAACACCAGTGGTGAATATGTTTTGGAAAGGATAGTGTACAACTCTGAAAGTTTAGTATACTGTTTGTATAAGGAAGTAATTTACAGTATTTTCATAAATCAGTGGAGGAATATAGAAAGCTACATGATAAAAATCAGAAAAATATTAAATTTATAGTCTGTGGCATTCTCAAGTCTGGAAACTTTGGGTTAACCAATGTAATTATGGTACATGCATATTTGTTGAGAGGAAAAAAGTCAGTGAGAAAGAGTCTTAGAACTTTATTCTGTGATGCAGTTTAAAATCTCCAACGAATTAGATTTTGCTACATTCATTAAATACACCATTAATATGCCATTACACTTGGCATCTTCTGGTTACAGATAACCTCTTCACTTTTTAGAGTCAATATCTACTTGAGTGTTTGCATTTATGCAAATGTCTGTACAATTCTGCTTTATTACTAGACTCTAAGATTTGTGTTTAAAAAAAATTTTTTTTTTGAGAGAGAGAGAGAGAGAGAGTGGGAGCATGGGAAGGGGAGAGGGAGAGGAGGAGAGAATATTAAGCAGGCTCCATGCCCAGCAGAGCTGGACATGCTGGACTCGATCTCATGACTATGAGAGCATAACCTGAGCCAAAGTCAAGAGTTAGACACTTAGCCGACTGAGCCACCCAGGCACCCCTGGACTCTAATATTTGTACTTGTAAAATCAATTCAGCGTGAAAATTGTTTGAAATGTTAAAATTCATGTGTTCATCTTAAATTAATAATCTTTCTTAATGAAATGCACATCTCTGGGTATTAAAATTCACGAGTGCGTGTTGTGTAAAAGAGCTGCCCTTTTCATTTTTGACATCTGATTTACTGATGATTGTCAGATGCTTCTCTTTAAATTTTTCTTTTTTTTTCTTTAAATATTTTATTTATTTTTGAGAGAGGGATAAAGACAGCATGAGCAGGGGAGGATCAGAGAGAGAGGGAGGCACAGAATCTGAAACAGACTCCAGGCTCTGAGCTAGCTGTCAGCACATAGCCTGATGCGGGGCTCAAACCCACGAACCGTGAGATCATGACCTGAGCCGAAGTCGGATGCTCAACCGACTGAGCCACCCAGGTGCCCCCCCCCCTTTTTTTTTTTTTGCTTCTCTTTAAATTTTTCAAATACTGTACTTTATCAGCTGCAAAGTATGAATAAATAGGGGAAATGACAATAAAATATTAATGGGATAGTAGGCTACATTACCTGACCAAACAAATGGTTTATTGTTACATGTGGGAACCTGTGACCACTTAATTTTTATTTTTTAAATATTTACTTGAAGGGGATTCAATTATATTTTTATATGGAAACTTAAGATCACAGTGTAAAATGTGCAGATTTACTGAACAGTGAATACATCCGAAGAGTAACAAGAATCTTTGGATTCCACACCATGTTGGAAAGGTACTTGTTTAGTCATGTTTTGCAGCAAAGTCTTGAATGTATGTTTTTTTTTATGTTTGTATGAAGTAGAGATGTCCATGAGTTTCTGCCTAGAATCCTAAATACAATGAATAGTTTATGATGTTAATGATATTCTGCTATGAGTTCAGCCTTGCTACACATCTGCTAAGTTTTAGGATGACAATGTATTGTGTAGGCTAAAAAAGTTTCTTTATGAAGATTTCTAGTTTGGAACGGAATTAAACCTGTAAGACCTATCAGAAACATAAAAATTGACATGCTTATTTACAAGCAAGAATGCTGGTAACAGAGGGTTGGGATGATCTGATAGTAACCTTGGGACCAAAAAAAAAAAAGTGGACGACATAGATTACCTTCTTCAGAATATGTGATTGTAAGGACTCATACGTCACCCTCAAAATTCAAATAATTCACCATTGCTAAGTTACTTGAGAAGAAACAGTACCGTTAAAGACAATGGTAAAGTAATGTGGAAAAAATAAAATCAGAGAAATAGTTTTTAAATACTAGTCATCTGCAAGTAGACACTTGGAAACTAAGGAAAGGAGTTTATTCTTCTTATTGTACTTCGGTTTTATAAGGACACTCAGTCTCTTTGCTTACATATCAATTATTTTGGGGTAAGATGACAGTGATAATATAGAAGGAAGTGAAACTCAGGATAAAACCAAAAGCTATGAGATTTGTAACATCTGTAAGTTAGAAAACATGAAAATAGAGTGGAGTAACAATACATATCAAGCTGGAATTTCAAGAATTTTCATATTACACTTTCTGCTGCACCACCACTACTTTCATTTGTGGCATTTTCTACGTATTATTTTACTTGGTCCTCAGTTTTACTAAGTAACACAGGGGAAATGTTGTTATAGCTATTTTATGAAAATGGAAATGGAAAGCACCACAATTCCAATAAATGTCTTCAGTAAGTGACCTCTGCTCTTGAGTAGTAAAAATCGCTTGAGTTAGATGGATAAAGCTCAGGTTCAAATAAAATGAAAGCCAGACCAAAGATATAGTAAATATTTAAAATGTTAAAATCCTTGTAAAATGAGGAGAATGAGCGTCTGTATCAGGACACAGTAGAATTTTCTTCTAACCCACTCCTTACTTGGAGCTTTAGTAACCACTACTGCAGTTCTGCAGCCCAGACGCGGGGTGCCGCTGTTGGCTAGTACTGAGCGAAGTATCAGCTTCTCCCGGCGCAAAGAAATCATTAGCCCACCGCGAAACCGCGAGAATTGGACACTGCCTCTGGCCCTCTGATGCCAAGGTATCTGTCAGAATCGGCCTGCCAAGACAAATCAAGAAGTTGCTCCGGCTCCGAGAATTCTTGGGATAATTTAACGATCGTAGCTCTTCAGAGGCAGAAAGGCAAAGGCGCTGAAAGCGGGATGAGAGATCACTTGGGACTGAAGGGCCCGGCTGGGCGGAGACCAATGCCATTTCTCTCTTTGTTGTCTTTGTTCTGCCCGGTGCTCTCGGAGCAGATCCTCTATACTATTCCGGAGGAGCTGGCCAGGGGATCACTTGTAGGGAACCTCGCCAAGGACCTGGGGCTTGGTGTGCGAGATTTGCCTGCTCGAAACCTGCGGGTTAGTGCACAGAAGAAATTCTTCACAGTGAGTACTGAGAATGGGGACTTACTTGTTAGTGACCGTATAGACCGAGAGCAAATTTGTGGCGAGAAGTCAACATGTGTTCTAGAATTCGAATTGGTCGCTGAAAAGCCTTTGAACTTTTTTCATGTAAGTGTGGTAATTCAGGATGTCAATGACAACCCACCGACGTTTAGCCAAAATATCACTGAATTGGAAATCAGTGAACTTGCTGTAACTGGAGCCACCTTTGCCCTGGAACCTGCACAAGATTCAGATGTAGGTGTCAATTCCCTGCAGCAGTATTACCTCAGTCCCAACCCACACTTCTCTTTGATGCAGAAGGAGAATCCAGATGGCAGTAGGTACCCAGAACTGGTAGTGAAGACTCCCCTGGACAGGGAGGAGCAGTCCCGCCACCACCTGGTCCTCACGGCTGTGGATGGGGGTAACCCAGCCAGAAGCTGCACTACCCAGATCATGGTGGTTGTGGCAGATGCAAATGATAATGCACCAGTGTTTACCCAGGAGATTTATAGGGTCAGTGTTCCTGAGAACCTGCCTGTGGGCTCCTCTATACTAAGAGTGATGGCCACTGACTTGGATGAAGGGGTCAATGCTGAGATCACCTACACTTTCATCAACATTGGTAAGGCAGTGAGACGGCTGTTCAAACTGGACAGTACAACAGGGGAACTCACCACTAGTGGAGGACTGGACTTTGAACAGAGAGAGAGCTACACAATTGGGGTGGAAGCAAAGGATGGTGGACGTCACACAGCACACTGTAAAGTACAAATAGATATTTTGGATGAAAACGACAATGTTCCAGAGATAACCCTGGATTCTGAATCTAAACATATTCTAGAGGATGCTAAGTTGGGGACTGTTGTTGCCCTGATCAAAACATATGACCTCGATTCTGGATATAATGGGGAAGTTTTCTGCCAACTAAAAGGAAAGTTCCCGTTTAAAATAGTTCAAGATATAAAAAACACATACAAGTTGGTCACAGATGGAGCCCTAGATCGAGAGCAGACTCCAGAATACAACATTACCATCACAGTCACTGACAGGGGAAGGCCGCCCCTCTCCTCCAACAGAAGCATCACCTTGAACATTGCAGATGTCAACGACAATGCTCCTGTTTTCCACCAGGCCTCTTACGTGGTCCACGTAGCAGAAAACAACCCTCCCGGAGCTTCTATTTTCCAAGTCAGCGCCTCCGATCCCGACCTGGGGCCCAACGGCCACGTCTCCTACTCCATCGTGGCCAGCGACCTGGAGCCACGGGCGCTGGCGTCCCACGTGTCCGTGAACACGCAGAGCGGCGTGGTGTTCGCGCAGCGCGCCTTCGATCACGAGCAGCTGCGCGCCTTCGAGCTGACGGTGCAGGCGCGCGACCAGGGCTAGCCAGCGCTCAGCGCCAACGTGAGCCTGCGCGTGTTGGTGGGCGACCGCAACGACAACGCGCCCAGGGTGCTGTACCCGGCGCTGGGGCCCGACGGCTCGGCGCTCTTCGACACGGTGCCGCGCGCCGCGCAGCCCGGCTACCTGGTCACCAAGGTGGTGGCGGTGGACGCCGACTCGGGACACAATGCCTGGCTGTCGTACCACGTGCTGCAGGCCAGCGAGCCCGGACTCTTCAGCCTGGGGCTGCGCACGGGCGAGGTGCGCACTGCGCGTGCTTTGGGCGACCGGGACGCGGCGCGCCAGCGCCTGCTGGTCGCCGTGCGGGACGGGGGACAGCCGCCCCTTTCCGCAACTGTCACGTTGCTCCTGGTTTTCGCAGACAGCCTACAAGAGGCGCTGCCAGATTTCAGCGACCATCCTACACCCTCTGACCCCCAGGCCGAGCTACAGTTTTACCTGGTGGTGGCCTTGGCCTTGATCTCAGTGCTTTTTCTCCTCGCCGTGATTCTAGCGGTTGCCCTGAGCCTGCGACGCTCCTCGAGCCCTTCCGCTTGGAGCTGCTTTAAGACTGATGTCTGCTCCCAGGCTGGATCTGGGGTTATCCCCAACTTTAGCGAAGGCACATTGCCTTATTCTTACAATTTATGTGCTGCGTCACATTCCTCAGAGACTGAGTTTAAATTTCTCAGTATAAAGCCTGAAAATGGTCCATCACAAGATCTTCTATGTAACGAAGCCTCTTGGTTTGAAAGTACCAGTAATGCCGATCCCAAAATGACTTCTAATTCAGTCAATTTGCAACAGGTGAGTTACTTCAAAACCCTTTATTTCCATAAGTATAATTAGATCAGTAATTATTTTAGAGGCAAAAAGTATACAGGCTAACTATACCCTGATTTTATTGTGTTTTGTTGATTTTTCTGGGCATTGCTTTGTGGGGGGGCGGTGTTAGAATTTTTTATGTTTTGCAGTCTTTCATAGAAAGTGGCCTTGTGATGTCTTGAAAATTTTGTTAAATCTAAAATCATATATCATGGGGGCACCTGGGTGGCTCAGTCGGTTAAGTGTCCGACTTCAGTTCAGGTCATGATCTCATGGTTCGTAGGTTTGAGCCCTACGTCTGTGGTTGGGCTCTGTGCTGATAGCTGGAGCCTGGAGCCTGCTTTGGCTTCTGTGTCTCCCTCTCTCTCTGCCCCTTCCCCACTTGTACTCTCTGTCTCTCAAAAATAAATAAACACTAAAAACATAAAACCACATATCATGAAACATTTTTGATACATTAGCATTACACTGTCTTTGGGAAACATATAATTAAACACAAATGTAGGCAATTAACTGGTTTACTTAGTTTCAATGCAGTTAATCCTAAACTATGTTTTGTATATATTAATATAAGTTTTTCTCATTGTAGACAATATATTTTCACATTTTTTAATTTTTACAGTTTTTAAAATTCATTTAAGTAATCCCAACATCCAACATGGGGCTTAAATTTGTGACCCTGATATCAAGAGTCACAGGCTACTTTGAGCCAGCTAAGCACCCCCTTTTCATGATTTCAAAAGTATACAGAAATATTGTCTATGCTGGGGCATTTATTAATCTGTGTGTTCATAAACTCACCAAACACCGCGCAGTTTGGGCGCAGATCTCCTCCCTGTCTGTCATAAAATAGATAATGACATCTAAAATTGGCAATACTTGTAACTGGCAGTAGATGGATTGGTTCCACATGTGTGGTTTTTGGTGGCCTTATTGAAAATGGGACAAATAAAAGAGACTCTTCACTATAGAGAACAAACTGAGGGTTGCTGGAAGGGAGGTGGGGGAGTGGGGTAAAATGGGTGCTGGGTGTTAAGGAGGGCACTTGTGATGAGCCCTGGGTGTTACATGATGAATCAATAAAATCTATTCCTGAAACTAATATTACACTATATCTTAACTAACTGGAGTTTTAATAAAAATACGAAACATTGAAAAATTAAAATGGGACGAATATAAATAATGGTGGAATATAATTCAAATTTACAGAAAAGTGTAATCTTATTTCTTTTCTCCAAGGCCCTCAGAGCTATTGACACAAAAAAGTGAGTGGTAAATTCCAGGGAATATATAAAATTATTTGAAATATTCTCTTTTATTCTTCTTGGAGAGGGAAATACTATGAGTGACATCTAAGCAGATTTAGCAGAAATGAGTAAGATTCTTTGTAAGATGGTTTCACAAAAACGGTGCAGTATTAAGTTAGGACTCTAAGCGTCGCTGTTCACTAATCTGGGCAAAGAAAGCAATGATAACTCGAGTAATATCCACCAGCACAAAGCAGATCAGATACCATAGCTCTCCAGCTGCGCAGAAATTCTAATCTAAAACGCTTCGCATCTGACTTCTACTTGTTCATGGACCTTGGCTTCTCTTTGGGAGAAGCACAAAAATGTGATTGTGGACCTGCTCCCCCTATTCGCAATCCCAAGGAAGTCCATAAGGAGCCAGCCATGGCAGCTCTGCAAAAGCACTGGCACGAGAGCGGATTAGTGGTGCTCTTCAATCTCCTGGGGATTCTGGGGGGTGCTGGGGCCAGGCAGATACATTATTCCATTCCTGAAGAGCTGGACAAAGGTTCCTTTGTGGGAAACATCGCTGACGATCTGGGGCTGGAGCTACGGGAGCTAGGGGAGCGTGGAGTCCGCATAGTCTCCAGAGGTAGGATACAGCTTTTTTCTCTGAACTCGCGAAGCGGCAACTTGGTCACTGCGGACAGAATAGACCGGGAGGAGCTCTGCGCCCAGACTGCGCGGTGTCTGGTGAGTTTTAACATCCTCATTGAGGATAAACTAAATCTTTATCCCGTAGAGGTAGAAATCGTGGACATTAATGACAATTCACCCCAATTCTTTAGGGGAGAATTAGAAGTAAAAATTCCAGAAAATGCTCTCCCTTCCTCTCGTTTTCCACTAATGGAAGTCTATGACTTGGATGTGGGAATGAACTCTCTTCAAGGCTTCAAACTCAGCAAGAATAGTCACTTCTCAGTGGATGTCCGGAGTGAAGCTGATAGGCCCATATACCCGGAGTTGGTGCTTGAGCATGCCCTGGATCGTGAGGGAGAGGCCATTCACCACCTTATCCTTACTGCTGTGGATGGGGGTGCACCTGTTCGCTCAGGCACTGCTCGAATTCTGGTAGCTGTCCTAGATGTGAATGACAATGCTCCAGTATTTACTCAGCCTGTGTACCGCGTGAGTGTTCCTGAAAACCTGCCAGTAGGCACACCAGTGTTGTCCGTAAATGCTACTGACCAGGATGAAGGAGTCCACGCAGAAGTAATGTATTCCTTCCTGAGGGTAACAGAAAAGATCTCAAAGATTTTCTGCTTGAATGCTTTCACTGGAGAAATCTCAACCTCTGCAAATCTAGACTATGAGGATTCAAGCTTTTATGAACTGGATGTTGAAGCCAGAGATAGGCCAGGTCTACTGGACAGAGCAAAAGTCTTAATAACTATCTTGGATGTAAATGACAATGTACCAGAAGTGGTGGTTACATCTGGAAGCAGATCAGTTGCTGAAAATATGCCTCCAGGAACAGTAATTGCTCTTTTTCAAGTATATGATAGAGACTCTGGACTGAATGGCCTGGTAACATGCTCCATCTCAAGAAGTATGCCATTTGAGCTGGAAAAATCAGTAGACAATTATTATCGATTAGTGACCAAGACAGTGCTAGATCGAGAACAGGTATCTTTATATAACATCACTGTAACAGTCACAGACAAAGGAATTCCACCTCTGTCTACAGAAACGATTATTTCCCTAAACGTGGCAGACACCAACGACAACCCGCCTGCCTTCCCCCACTCCTCCTATTCTGTCTACATCCCTGAAAACAACCCCAGAGGTGCTTCCATCTTCTCTGTGACTGCACATGACCCGGACAGCCACGAGAATGCCCAAGTCACTTACTCCCTGGCTGAAGACACGCTCCAGGGGGCACCCCTGTCCTCCTATGTGTCCATCAACTCTGACACTGGCGTCCTGTATGCGTTGTACTCCTTCGACTATGAGCAGTTCCGTGACCTGCAACTGAGAGTGACTGCGCAGGACAGCGGGGACCCACCGCTTAGCAGCAATGTATCCTTGAGTGTATTCATTCTTGACCAGAATGACAATACACCAGAGATCCTGTACCCCACCCTCCCCACCGACGGTTCCACAGGCGTGGAGCTGGCGCCCCGGTCCGCAGAGCCCGGCTACCTGGTGACCAAGGTGGTGGCGGTGGACAGAGACTCTGGCCAGAACGCCTGGCTGTCCTACCGCCTGCTCAAGGCCAGCGAGCCAGGGCTCTTCGCGGTGGGGCTGCACACGGGCGAGGTGCGCACCGCGCGGGCCCTGCAGGACAGAGATGCGCTCAAGCAGAGCCTGGTGGTGGCTGTGCAAGACCACGGCCAGCCCCCTCTCTCGGCCACCGTCACGCTCACCGTGGCCGTGGCCGACAACATCCCAGACGTCCTGGCCGATCTGGGCAGCATCAGGCCCTCGGCCCACCCGGACGATAATGACCTCACGCTGTACCTGGTGGTGGCGGTGGCCGCAGTCTCCTGTGTCTTCCTCGCTTTTGTGATCGTGCTGCTGGCGCTCAGGCTGAGGCGTTGGCACTCGTCGCGCCTGCTCCAGGCTGCGGGGGCTGGATTGGCGGGCGTGCCGGCCTCGCGCTTTGTGGGTGTGGACGGGGTGCGCGCTTTTCTGCAGACGTATTCGCACGAGGTCTCGCTCAGGGCGGACTCCCGGGAGAGTCACGTGATCTTCCCCCAGCCCAACTATGCGGACACGCTTCTCAGTCAGGAGAGCTGTGGGAAAAGCGAGCCTCTTTTGATTCAAGATTCAGGGTTTTGTAAAGAGGAAGACTCCCTTGTTCAGGTGAGATTTTTCCTTTTATTTGTTTTATTTGAACAAGAACGTTTAAAATTTTCTTTGATCAGTACTTACTTTTCTTAGTCTTTGCAGTGAGTCAATTTTGAGAATTAAGATACCAGTTGAGCTCTATTAAATCTTAGTTTCGTTTAATTTCATGCAGAAAAAACCCCACTTTAATGTATGATGCAGATTTTCTTCTCTGCTGGCAAGCTCTTTCTGTCTTGGGCTGCCTTCTCGTTTGTTAGAGTTTGAGTGCGTGTGTGTGAGCGCACGTGTGCGTGCATTTTCCTGCATTCTGACGCTTGTGAGATTCTTTTTCTTTCCTTTTTAAAATGTTTTTTATTTATTTTGAGAGAGAGAGAGTGTGCGATCAGGGGAGGGACAGAGAGAGAGAGAGAGAGAGAGAGGGAGGAAATCCCATGTAGGCAGAGCCTGAAGTGGTGCTTCAGCCTACCTGAGCTGAAATCCAGAGACCCTGAATAGATTGAGCCACTCAGATGCCCCATGAGATTCTTTTCCTAATGTAAAAAAAAAAACCAAACGTCTGAATTGCAGCCTTTGTTAAAGAAGGTCAAGGTCTCAGTTTTTCCCAGTGTTAATTAATAGCAAGTGTTTTCTGAAATAGTGGATATTTGTGAGAGATATTTTCCCCCTTTACTACTTAGGAATCAAAAATTATTTTTATGAAAGATAAACATAATTGACATCTGTAGCAAAGAAGACCTGATCTTTGGTGTTAGAAAGCCTGAATAACTTTCCTGGAACTGTTTGTTAATCATCTTGGGCCAGTCACAATATCTATAGTTTTTAAAGTAAAATTTTAATTAAAAAGACTTGTCTTATCTATCTCACACAAATTCTGAGAATATATAACAAAATAGTTAAAAATTTTTTCAGCTATAAAGTAGTATAGTGAACAATTATTTGTTGACA